CTCATTGGGACATGGTCTCAGGGGTGCAGGGAAGGAGGGGGGCTTCAGACCCTGGGGGAGCCCCATCCACACCAGAGCCTGAGGGGATCCCCTCCCCTGAGGGTTCACAGGCTCCCCTAGAGAAGGAAGATTGTTCATGGCCACAGAGGGCTTCTGGGGCCCAGCCTCAGGGGGCAGAGAGTCATGGACACGTCTCCTGAATAACAGATGAAGTATGGAAGGAGGGTCCCAGAGAAGGACTCAGGAGGGAAGGAGAAGATGTGGGAGCCATCAGTCATGTCATAGAAGGAGACGTCCCCATGATCATAGTCCAAGAAAACCCCCAACCTGTGGGGAACCTTCCGAAGGGGTAGGGGAGTAACAGGGTCAGTAAAGACTTGGGAAATGCTAACCCACCTGGCAAAAAGCCAAAATCCATTCAGTGGGGATGATGGAGCGTTGTATCTTGTTTTCTCATCTTCCCTCCAGACCCCCAATGCCCACTGAGTGCTCTCTGCATTCCTGACCTCTACCTCCCAGTAACAGCGCCCTGATGTGATGCCCTCAAGACCCAAAACACTGTATCCTCCTTCTATTCCATCGTGATGACAGGTCAGACTCTTCTTGTCATGAGAGAGGACAATTCCATGACTGAAAGAATCTGGATCCAGAGTGACAGGCCCTGCAGAGAGAGAACCCAAGTGCCAGCCTGACATAACAAGGGCACACACCTCCTCACCCCAGATACTCAGCTTTATGGGGAGAGGGATATGTTCCCTGAAATGAGAGCCTGGTGACCCCAGCCCACAGTCCCCAAGCAAGAGAAGGAGCCACAAGATTACCAGGGGTTAAATATGTCACAGGACCCCTGGAGACCCACATGGACCCCAAGGACTAAGGAGCCCCTTCAGCACCCATGACCAGTCACCCCTAGCCCAGCTGTGTAACATCACAGCTACATCCATCCCACCCCCACAGAAGGTATAGAGTCTGTGCCCACACAGAGAACAGAAGGAAAGGCCAGAAGCTGAGCAGCCCCAGAGAGAACAGAGTCACTCACAGGCCCGGAACTGCTCCTTCCGCCAATCTGCAAGAGACACACATGTCATGTGAGGGACTCTAGGTACTCACACATCAGGGCCCATGCATAGTTTTCCACAGGATAGTGACAGAATTCATAGGGAGAAGTATTTGAAACATTTAGTTGATGCATTTAACTTTCAGATTCACACACACACACACTCACACACACACACACACAGTTGTTATGCTGCAAATTTCCCATGATTTAAGACCCAAAGCTTAATACTCAGGGGTGAGAGGCTGGACACCAACTGAACAGAAAGGTCTTTACCCAGATACGACCATCAAATTATACTTTTCAAGTCACCAGCCACAGGCCCATCCTGGAAACTAGGTTTTCTTGGACAGGTTCTATGGAGATGAAACACCCTGGCCTGCGTGTGCCTGTGAAGAACTAACAGACCTGGATGTGCAGCTTCTCTCTGAGCCACGGGGCTTAGAGCTACAACCAGCTGAGGCCTGTGTGCGGCCCGATGCTCCTGCCTCCTGGGGGAGCAAAAGCCTGTGGAAGCCTGGAACCGTGCAGGCTGGTGGGCAGAGCTTTCCCCTCTGAATTTGAATAATCTGTTTGTCCAACAAGGGGAGAAAAAGACAGGGAGAGAGAGAATAAAACAACGTGACTGAGCTGCACATGGGGGTGACTGTGACATGAGTGAGGAGACAAAGGACAGGGCAGCAGAGGGTCCTGCCCACTAAGGAGGGGGTGGAGAGGATTCTAGGAGGAGAGAGACTTGCAGAGTAAGGATATGGACACACAAGAGGATCAAACACTAGTGGTGACAACTTTCCACAGTTTCATGTGTGGTGGAAACAAAACCATCACTGTAGACAGAGAAGAACACAAACACATTGGATTGACACAACTGTTTCCTTCAAGAAGAGCCCAGAAAGACGGAAGCTTCAAAGTAAAACCTCTCTGTATAAGCAGAATAATGACTTCAAAGATGTCCATGTCCTCACTCCATGACCCTGTAAATATGTGTCCTTGGCACAGGAGAGAGAAGCCTACAGGTGGGACAGAGACGGGACCTACAAACAGGGATGTTATTAAGGATCATCAGGGGGAACCTCATCACATGAGCCTTAAGAGCTGTGACCCTGCACCTGTGGTCAGAGAAAGTCACATGGTGTCAGCAGCAGGGCCAGAAAGAGGCTGCATGGCAGGCTGCTGCGACCCCGCCGCAGCAGCCTGGGTGTCAGGGGTTCCTGAAGGATGGGAAGGCGTGGGTGCAATAGTGGGATGATGGGGAGGGGGAGTGAGGAGACGTAAACACTTGATTGAAAGGTCAATTCAGGGGCCAGGAATGAGGAAGCCCTGATCAAAACCAACCCGGTCAGCCTTAGTCCGGCTTCTGGCTGGGCGGTGGGCGCCGGCAGCTTCTTCTTCCCATCTCCCTTGGAGGGGCCACCCTCCTCTTCCTCCTTTTGACCCACCTTCTCTTCCTATGGCACTTCACCAAATAATCACAAAGATCAAAAAGACTCGGCCGGCCTGTGGACCACCAGTGCTTAGCTCTTGACTCTCCCAGGGTGAGTTGTTGCCTCTAGGGTCCCTGGGATCACGGAGGTCTCTGCTTTTTATTCAGCGATCGCTACCCCCTCTTGATTCGCGCTTTCCATTTGAGGTGAGACGTCTTTCCTCTGAGGTGAGATGTCTCCTCAGGGGGACGACCCGTCCTATTTCTTGGAGGTAAAGAGGACCACGGGATGCCGCCTTCCCCTTTCACTCTCCTGCTCAATTCCTGAGGATCGGGCCAGGGACACTGGGACGCCGGCCTCCCTCCCCGACCCTCCATTTGAGATCCTGAGAGGGACACTCACTATGGGATCAACGCAATCCCGCATTCTGGGAGACACCCCCTAGTGGTGCCTCCTAAAGGCCCTTGGGCCTCTACATTTAAAGCCGGATGTGAGACCTAAGCGACTCATTTTTATTGCACCACGGCCTGGCCCAAATATGAATTGGACAATGACCCTAGGTGGCCAGAAATGGGCTCTTTTGACCTCCAAATTCTAACAGACTTAGGCCTTTGCCATAGGCAGAAAAAGTGGCCCAAAATTCCCTTAGGGCCAGGCTGTCTTTCTCTTGCGCTCTGCCCCTTCCCTCCCTCCTGAAAACCTGCCATACTTTCAAAGTCTCTCGAGACTCCTCGCCCTCTCCGGACCCCTCTTCTGCGTTCTCTGATCCTCTAAATTTTCTATCTTCTCCTCCTGCAGCTCCCCAGTCCAGTCCCTCCCCCCACTTTCTTTTCACCTCCCAGCCATCACACCCTCTCTCTGCTTATCCTCTTGTCCCTCCCCTCAGGGAAGTGGGGGGGACTGAAGGAGGAGTTAGAGTCCATGTTCCTTTCTCTGTCTAATCTCTCCCAGATTGAAAAGCGTCTTGGCTCTTTCACTACCTACACCTAAAAATTTCATTATCTTACCCAAGTCTATGACCTTACAAGTCATGATTACATGTTATCTTCTCTTCCACCCTGACCTCTAATAAAAGGAAATGTGTTTTAGGTCTGCCCAAAACCATACAGATCAGGTCCATTTGACTGACACAACCAGGCCCCCAGGCTCTGAAGCAGTTCCCAGCCCAGAGCCAGGGTGGGACTACCAGACTGACAGAGACATGGCGGCCTGGGGCTGGGGTTCACCGAGACAGTTTTATTACCTGTCCCCTAGCTGGTCTCCAACCAGCAGCGCCTAAACCTATAAGCTTTGCTAAACTCAGAAAGATTACCCAGTCTGCCTCAAAAAACCCTGCTGCCCTCCTTAGCCTATGCCTGATGGAAGCGCTCCAGCTGTATACCAGGCTTGACCCTGACTTGCTTGGAGGCGCCACAGTTCTGGCTACCCATTTTATATCTCAGTCAGCCCCAGACATTAAAAAAACAGCTTAAAAAGGCTGAGGACAGTCCTGAAACCCCTATCGGGGATCTGCTGAACATGGCCTTTACAGTATTTAACACCCGGGAGGAATAGGACAGCGCAGAGAGGGAACTCTGAAGTCTCCAGAAGGCTGAGCTACTAGCTCAGGCCAACAACTTCTCCACCCTTATTTTCACATCCCTGCAGAAGACCCTCATAACCAGGCCTGAGCCACCCCCTTGGTCTTCGCCCCCTTCCAGCAGGAAGTAGCCAAAGAAGGAACTGTCTCCCCTTTTCTATCAACAAAAGGCTGCAATGAAAGGTCAATGCAGGGGCCAAGAATGAGGAAGCCCACATAGAAAAAGACAAGATGACCCTGACACCAGGAACCCTGATACCATCAAACCTAAACTGAAGCCATAAACAGGAGAAAACAACTCGGCTCCACCCAAAACAACTTTGTTCCGCATAAATCTGTTTCCCCCTGCCAACCCAGTTTTCCTTCCTAAACTCTCCTCACCCCATAAAAGGCACATCTCTCTTCACAACGGGCACGGCTTCACTGACCCCCACCTGGCTTCGTGAGGTCAGCCCAGGGCGCAATAAATTTTCCCTTCCTTTGAGAAATTTAGCCTGGCTCTCCTTTTCTTTACCACGCCGAACCTTTCATTGATCAGGGTGCAGACATCATCCTGCTGAGGGTTTCAGCAGCCCTTTATTTATACATTAGAAGCAAACCATGGGATTGCATAAGCATATGTATTAGAGCAGGAAGATAACAATCATTACATCTTCCTCTAGAACAGCCAGGGGTTTATTTGCCCTTCAGTAGAGGTTGTAACTTTATTTTGAAGAAGGCACAGTTGCTAAACAAAAGTGTTCTTAGAATAGTCATTTATCTTAAACAATCATTTTATTGCTAGCAAAAACTGATGTGACTGAAACTAACATTTATATGTTTACTATGGTGAGCAATTAACTAGGGGCTGGGGGAAACAAAGGACAGGAAGTTACCGGGGAGGGGGTAGGGGTGGGGGTTCATGTGAGAGGCAATGCAATTAGATGGTCACCTCAATAATGGTTTTTAGGGCCTCCCCGGTGGCGCAGCAGTTGAGTGCTGGGTGGAGAAGCTGCCAGCAGCCTCTGCAGCGCTGGTTCGATCCCTGGCTGCTCCCCGGCCGCTCCCCGGCCACCGGAGGAGGGTCCCACATGGCACGCAGACCTCTCCTGCCGCCCGCTGCTCCCCTCAGCAGTGTACTTCAGTCCTTCTGCCTGCTCTGCTCCCCGCCCTGGCTCTGGTGAATTCTCTCACCCTCCCGCGCTTCTGACTGTACACAGTGCATGTCTAAATAAATAAAATAAATAAATGAATGAATGGATGGATAAATAAATAAATAAATCTTAAAATAATAATAATAATGTTTTTTAAAGTGTAACTTTATCTGAAGTACTTCCAAAGGCCGACTGTGTTTCATTCCCAAGCCTTGCACAGTGTCTGCACAGCACAGATTCAAACTGGTGACTGTGCCCAAAACCTCTAGAAGGCTCTTCTCCCACACACCCCTCTCCTTCCTTCCCCTCTCTATCGCCATCCAGACTCTTCTTTCAAATTTCCCCCCTGTTCTTTGGAAATGGATTATAACCATTTTAGGTTTGTTCTTTTCCAGTATACATAGTTACCTCTTAAAAAAAAAAAAAACTACTTAATATAAACCATTAGACTGTCAAACAGAATTCTCCTTAAAAAGATGATATGTTAATGAAATCCTATGAGGAGATAAGAGTATATATACCTATACCTTTTTCTTCTCAATTGCAAGATATATATTCAACTAGAAGTTGTTTTGGGTCACCGAGGAACAAAGCAAGTGCTACAAATATATAAAATAAAAAAGAAACAAACTTCATCTTTAAAAAAAAAAAAAAAAAGATGGTTCTGGGCCTCCCCGGTGGCGCAATGGTTGAGCACTGAGTTGCAAAGCTGCCCGCAGCCTCTGCAGCACCGGTTTGATCCCCAGCCACCCGGCGAGGATCCCACATGACGCACAGACCTCTCTGGCCGCGCCCACTGCTCCCCTCAGGAGTGTACTTTGTCATTCTGCCTGCTCTGCTCCCCGCTCTGGCTCTGGTGAATTCTCTCACCCTCCCATGCTTCTGAATGTACCCAGTACTTGTACAAACAAATAAATAAATCTTTAAAAAAAAAAGATAATGGTTCTGAAAAATCATACATTGTTTATCTTGTTAAAAAGACACAGAAAAATACACACACAAAAGATTTTACATGTAATTTCAGACTTTTCACAGGCCCCTGCCCAAGAGTCATAAACACCCCAGAAGCTCTGACCAGACTCAGAACACCTGCTCTAAACAACTGATTCCTCAGCAACAACAAGAGATTAGAAGAAAAATTCAGCTTGGACATGAATCAGAGCATGCATGTGAAGACAGAGAATCAAGAGGAAACAGGAAACAAAAACTAGATCCAAAATAGGACTGGGATTTTGGATCCAGAAGGATCCAAAACCCAAAACCCCTTAGCAAGACCTGACTCTGAAATAGGAATCTGGAATTTTCGAGAGATCAGCAAATCCTGAACCACACACTTGTCTCCATGCAGCCTCTCCTCACACTGACCCCCACTTCCTCAACCACAAGGACAGGTGACAAAGGGTTAGATGGTGTCCTTTCCCCACATGACCTGCAGGGAGGACAGGGTAGGTGGAGGCAGGTCTGTGCTCATAAGGGGGTCCCTGCAGTTCTCAGATGGAGGCTCCAGACTGAAGGAAGACCAGGGACCCCAGGCCCTTCCTGGCAGGGGTCCCTGATAGAGGAGAGGCAGAGGGGAGGCTGGGAGGAGGTGCCAGGACTCTCAGGGCCACTCACCTGCATACAGCTGGGCCTTCCTCCAGGCTGAAAGGGAACACACAGGTAAGACCTCAGTATAACAAACTGCTCTTGTGATCCACGGGCCCTGGTCTCCCGCTGCTCTGCAGGTGAGACTTTCTAGGGGGTGGAGGGGAGCAGCTGGAGAGGTCATGACCTCCTGCCCCATGCAGACAGCAGAGGTTGGGAGCCTATAGGACAGACTGACCCAGTCCTGCCTGCTGCTGCCCAGGGGCTTTGGGCAAGTCACTGAGCAGCCCTGGGCTTCAAAGACTTCAAAACTCTTGCATCACCTGCTACTCAGTGTGCTACATAGGATCAAAAACAGTATATGGGAAGATATTTTTAACATACATATTATTCCATAATTATTACATTCAGTATTTCCTTGGAAATTAATGGGAAGATGAAATAAAAATACAACATGGACATCACACCAGCTCCAGAGTAGAAATGGCCCATCTTCCTCCAGTGCAGTATTTCTAGTGATAAAAACTCTCTGAGAGGGCCTCTCCAGTGGTGCAATCTTTGAGCGCTGGGTTGCAAAGCTGCACGCAGCCTCTGCAGCCCCGGTTCCATCCTCAGTCACTGGGCGAGGGCCCCACATGGCGCGCAGACCTCTCCTGCTTCCCGCTGCTCCCCTCAGCAGTGTATTTCGTCAGTCTGCCTGTTCTGTTCCCCGCTCTGGCTCTGGTGAATTCTCTCACCCTCCCGGGATTCTGACTGTACCCAGAGCTTGTAAAAATAAATAAATAAATATTTAAAAAAAAAAAAAAATCTCTGAAAAATAAAAAGTCCCCCCACTCCCTCCCACACAAGATCACCCCATCCTCTCCCAGCACTACTCATCAGCATCTTCAGGAGTAGAGAAAACAGACTTTTCTTGAGGTTGTCTGGGGAGAAAGGGCAGGAGGAAGTCGCTCTCCTAAACTTTAAGAGTCCATTTACTTATAAAATCCCGGAGCAGCTGCTTTCCTTCCAGGTTCTGACCAAGAACGAGATGCATTGATGACTAGAAAGTCGGCACCATGGTGGGAAAGTCAGGGCTGGAATGAGACAAGGATGCAGGAGACTCCAAGGGTCACCACCCCCCAGGATCCCAAGACTAGGAGAAAAACAGCACCCAGATCTGGAGAGCCCATGGAGCAGGGTCCTCCCTCCTACCAGCTCCCACTTCCACCCCATGGAAGGATCCACATGTCTGTGCTTAGACAGCCAAGGGGAGGGACCCCTGAGCACAGGGGACAGGGACACAGGACAACTGGAGCATCACTCACCAGCCAGGTAACCTGCCTTCCTCTGGCCTGAAAGACAACACAGGACACAGGTGAGCAAAGAACCAGAATGTCTCCTATGAAGGGGACACGGAGAGTTCAGGAGGGAGAGCAGAGCTTACCTAGAATTGCCTGGAGTTCATCTGAAAGAGAATGAAAAATATAAGCATAAACTGTCCTTAATAACAAAAGTTGTTCCTCTCAGTGTCCTAGAAGTTTCACCTTCAGACCAACAAGAGCCTCCAAGCTCCACTGTCCCCACCCTGGGACTCAGCACCTGCTCTGATCTCAATGCAGAGGGACCCTGGTCTCTGGCTCTGGTGTCAGCTTGTCCCTCTCAGCACCCACCGCCACACTTACCAGCCTGGCCCCTGTCCTACCTTACCTTTGTAATTCAGGGCCTCCACCTTTGCCTGTCTGTCCACCTCATTAGCCTGATACAGATTCCTCTGTTCCTGAAGCTCCCTCATCTGTGTGGAATATTCTCTCCAGGTGTAGCAGGCAGTTCCCAGGAGCAGGATCAGCAGCAAGGTCAGTCTCTCCAGGAAAATTGGCTTCCAGGGAGAGGCCCGGGGGAAGAAAGGCTCTGCAGACAGAGACCCCACAGACACCCCATCAGAACACAGCTCAGGACACCCAGGCACAGCTCACCTGAGGGTGCCGGCCCCTCCCTCTGACCCTGCAGGGAGTGGGGAGGGGGGAGCAGCACTGACCTGGGATGATAAAGGCCATGGCCTTCTCCTGGCCCAGGACAGGGTTGAGGATGGAGCAGGTCACGCTCCCCACAGAGCTGTCTCTCACCACCAGAGTGGCCTCCATGCTGAACAGCCCCTCAGTGTCCTGGGCCTTGACCTTGGAGAACTCCAGGAACTGCTCCCCACGGGTGTCTCTCCACTGTACCTGGGGCTCTGGGAACCAGCCTGAGGTCGTGCACACCACAGGCACCCCGTCCTCCTCTGGCCCCATGATGTGCACTTGAGGGGCAGAGCCCACACCTGCGGAGGTAAGGTGAGAGCCAGGTGGGGCAGGGCCCACCTGTGCACACCTCTAGGGGAGGCTGATAAAGTGCACTATGAGAGGTCTGGGAGAGCCCAAACCCTGGCGAAGCAAGATGATGACCTGACATGTTTCCTCTACATTTCTACCTATTATTTTTATAATTACATAAACATGTTCAAATCTTTGTGGAATTCTTTACTTCTTAGAAGAGTGCAACTTATAATCCATCAACAGCTGTATTATCTTATTTCTCACCAACATCTCAACCTCCATCCGGCAGCTTCTCCTTCTAGTCCATTCTGTTCTGGGTGATTCAACAAAAGTCTCCCATTTGTCAACCCCAGTCTCCACAGTCCTTTCACCTAGTCTCCCTTCAGTCAGGACACTCCTGGTCTGACCTTGAAACCACCTCCATCTTGGATTGGTCACTTCCCTCTGAGGGTGGCTTGTTGTAACTTGGACCCCCTGCTGAGCCCCTTTCCTGACTTTTCTCCCTGCACCTGCTCCTTGAAGGCAGTGCAGTCCCAGGGTTCAACCCTTAAAGCTCCGTCTTATCTCACACCCTCTCCCAGGGCTGCTTCTCCCTCAGCTCCTGTGTCTCCTCATACATCACTTCCAGATATCACCTCACCAGCCTTCCCCTCTCCCTCCCTGATATCCCCATCCCCTGGGTTACATCTGCCAGAATTCTCCACATGCTCTTCACACCTGAAATTCTACATCTGAACTCATGCTGTTGTCTCATCTGAGGTAAATTAGTAATAAAAATTGTTCCTAATTCTTCACCCTTCTTCATATCAGGCTCACAATCTGCCATGTACATTTTACTCACACTCTGACTCTGGGTTCAGTCGTGTGACTTAAGTGTCTAATGAGAAATCAGCAAATGTGACTCAGCAGAGAGTTAAAGTGCTGGCCCCTTGGGTCTTCCCGCTGCTGTCTCCATGGAAGGACATTATAGTTCAGGTAGAGCAGGGCCAGTTACCAGCCTTTCCCCCTGAAGCTCCTGCCTCAGTCAGGAGCCAGTGACCGTTCATGTAACAAGCCCAGCCAAGGTCCACTTGGTGACATTTTCATCTGACCAAAAAAGGTAGCTGTAAGTTCAGTGGAGAGTAGTCAAGTCCATCCCAGGTTAGCTGACGTACCCACAAGCCCATGTGAATACAAGTCCATTACTACAGGCCCCTGAGAGATTTTTTCTGTGGCTCTTTGCTACACAGCAGCATTATGGTGACAGGGAACTGATACACATTATTAATGTTCCTGACATTAATTATCAAACAGATTCTACAAAGCCTCGAAGCCTCTGCAATCCCTTCTTCCACTTTAAATTTTGTGACCCAATTCACCCCATTCAATTGGGTTATTTCTAAACCTCACTGACAGCACCTCCCGTGCAACCATCGCTACTATGTGAACCAGCCCCCCTCTCCACCCCGTAACTGCAGCCACAACTCCAGATACTGTCCCCGCCCTTGTCCTCCCCACTGCTGCCAGAGTCACATGCTAAGCGCTGCTGTGCTGAAAATCTCCAACAGTCCCACATACAAACACCATAACATGTGCACCAGGACTCCTCATCTGTGACTCCTCCCCAGCCTCTTCTCTCTGCAGAGCTCACACTTTTACACCTGTGCCCTCAAGGCCCAGCACCTCAAACTAAATATCTAACTCCTATTACCCACAATCATCAGGCTCTGTGGACTCCATCGTCCTTTCTTCATCTGGTCTGAGGCACTTTATAGACATTGTTAGATAAAATGACATCCCAGCTCAAATATCTGCATCATATGACAGTTTTTATGATTCCTTTGGTGGCATTAATCAGCCACCCTTGACCTCTCTGCCATGTATTCACAATATATTTTATGAGAGTATTGTCACCTCACCACACCCTGCTCCTCACTCTCCCCCACCAGCCATGAGGACTCCATGTGAGCAGATCACACACCAAACACATGCTCCCCTCTGGTCATTCACATGGGCTGTGCCTCCACATAGAAATTCCCTTCCCTGTAATGTACAACATGCCTGTAGCCAGCATTGCTGTGTGATATGTAGGGAAGTTGTTAAAGGACAAACTCCAAAGAATTTTTTTTCACAATGAGGAAATTTTCCTTTTTGCTTCTTTTTCTTTCTTTTTATTAAACCTTTAATAGCAGACAGATATGATTTAACCTATTGTGGCTATCAATTCACTATATGTATAAATCAGTCATCATTCTGTATGCCTCACATTACATATGATACATAGTAATTATCTGTCTATAAACTGAGGAGAAAGGAACACCCACACATCAGATATCCACTCAGCTGTATTCCTACTTCCCTGGAGTCTTTGCTCCCATGGCACCAGCCTGAGCTACTGTTTATTACTGGAACCTCCCCTCAGCCCCAGCCCCACATTGCTCACCCATCTCCCTGCTCCATTTAGCTTCCTGTCCTCATCCTTTCTCACTTCGAAAAGTCATTTATGTCTCAGTTATTTATTACAATTGCTCTCTCTCCCACCACAAATATAAACTCACAGAGTGAAGCACTTTATTATATTTGCTTTTGTATCCAAGTGTTTAGAACAGGGCCAGACATGTAGTAGGTACCCTGTATATTTACATTTCATAAAACATGAATTAGTAAGCCTTTTCTTACTCATAAATGAAACGAAAAACCAAATTGCATTGCCCTTATTTTCTCCTCAATTCCAAAACTCCAGGATTCTGAAATATATCACCATGTCACCAACCTGCCACCTGCAGTTCCAAGCTGGCTTGCCCATGGAAGACTCCGTTGCTGAAGAAGCAGGTGTACAGCCCCTTGTCAGAAGCCTGGACTCTGTGGATGCGCACAGCAGCTTCCCCCTTACTGAAGAATTCCCCCACCAGCGAGGTCCTCCCTTTGTACTGGGCCATCAGCTCCTCATGTCATTCCTGTCCATCTTGATAGGTGAACACTGAATCCCAGATATTGGACCGGAACCACCTCAACTCCATGTTCTCTGCACTCATGACTGGGTCCAGGGAGCAGGGCAGGATGGCATCTTTGCCCAGCTCTGCCACAATGGGGTGTGGGGGGCCAAGCACATGGAACCTCTCTGTGAACACAGACACGGGAGTTAGAAAGGGTGAGAGACACAGTCATATCGGGGAACACACACCATCAGTGGGGGAGGCCCAGGCAGGCTGAGGGAGGATGTTTGATGAACAGACAGCTGACATGAAGGATTAACAGTGACAATTCTGAATTTTGGAAAGATCTTCCAACCACAACTTGTGGTCCAGAAATAATGTCAAAGATGCCCCCTCATTCACTAGTGTAGCTGATAGCAGGACCTTCCATAAAAAACTCTAACTCTATGGTTCTCACCCCTCAGCATCATAATCTCTAGGAGGGCTTGTAACTGTAAAATGCAGCGATCCTACCCCAGGCCTGATGCAGCAGACTGAGATGTACCCAAGAATGTGCATTTCCAAAGAGTTCTTGGGGGACTAAGAAGGTATCTAAGGAAATTTGTTTCATTGCACAAAGGATCATTAATGTTATGAGTGAACACCCAGAGAACATCAGGCTTGTCACAAAACTGGACACTCTCATACAGCAGTGACCAGGCAGACAGCACCACAAGAGACACAGAGGAGAGTCATGCTTCACTGACCAAGAGTTAGGCAGAGAAGTCACCCGGAGGCTGTGGTCAGAATGGGGGAGGCTGCAGCACACACTGTGGTGGTTATTCAACCAGGCATGTGACCCTGGACAGGGAGAGCTTACAGTGAGGAGGCTCACAGCTCTGACTGGGCCCTCCCACCTAACAAGGTCCCCAGTGAAGTTAACAAGGTCCCAAATGAAGGCACAGAGCTGGTTGCATCCCCATTCCCCCCTCAGGACTGGCCCCACCCTCCTGAATCTCAGGGACAGTATGCACAGGGCAGAGTCTCAGGGCTGAACTGATAGAGGCACTGTCCGGGGTCCCACAAACATGAGCTCACATGCCCCAAGCAGAGCACCCACCTCAGAGGTTGGATGACTGCAGGCCCAACAGCCTCTGACTCAGCATCTCAAGTACCAGGTCTCTAGTCCTACATTAAGTTACAAATCTAAACATACAACAGGGTCACCTGATGGAAAGTTAGAAGTAGTTCAAATCTCTAAGTTACCACTACAGATGTATTTTTTTCAAAATTAGGAAATTTAAAGCAGCAAAATAAGCCCCAGAAACTTGAGCTCTCAAGGGAATATGAAATCACAAGATGAGACCAACTCTCCAATACACAACTACAAAGATATGGAAGATCGTATCTTACTATCAGGTAGAGTTCAAATTGCCATAACAAAGAAAGTCAAAGAAACGGAGAAAATACAGAAAAGTGAATCAAAAAGAAAAACAAAATTCAGACCAATAAATGAATGACTTGGAAAATAAAAAGAGTAAAAAGAAACAAATTGAAGCCTCAAATTAAAATCACAGAGAAGGAGGCTGTAAAAAGGTCAGGAAAGAAGCTACTCGCTTCTGGAGAAGCTATTGGAGCAGAATAGACCAAATGGAAGATTAAATCAGTGACCTCACGAGAACAATGAAAAGTGGACTGAAATAGAAGAAAAAAAGAGAAAAATGAAGAAAAACTGGAAAACTAACCAATCTATGAGGAAAGGCAACATAAGCATAATGGGTATTCCACTATTTGAAGAAAGAGGGGAAAAGAAATTCATTCAAAGAAGCAGCATAACATTACATATATACATACACATAATGAAATAGTACTCAGAATTTTTTTTTTTTAAGTACTTTTTTTTTTTTTTTAAGATTTATTTATTTATTTATACAAGCACTGGGTACAGTCAGAAGCACGGGAGGGTGAGAGAATTCACCAGAGCCAGAGTGGGCAACAGAACAGGCAGACTGACAAAGTACACTGCTGAGGGGAGCAGCGGGCGGCAGGAGAGGTCTGCGCGCCATGCGGGACCCTCCTCCAGTGGCCGGGGAGCAGCCGGGAATCGAACCGGCGCTGCAGAGGCTGCGGGCAGCTTCGCAACCCAGCGCTCAACCGCTGCGCCACCAGGGAGGCCCAGTACTCAGAATTTTTTAAAGAATTATTTTATTTATGCATACAAGAGCTGGGGTGTAAACCAAAGGTGGGGGGGGTGAGGGGATTCCCCAGAGACAGAGTGGGAAGCAGAACAGGCAGACTGACAGAAATACACTGCTGAGGGGAGCAGCAGGCAAGACCAGAGAGCTCTGCTACAAGATATGGATCAACTCCCTGGCCAGGGATCAAACTCCTGCTGTAGTGGCTGGTGATAGCTTGATAATGCTGAGACTTAACCCCTTGCACTACCAGGGAGGCCCACAGATATTTATTTTTTTAATAAGTAAAATCATGCCATTTAAAACAGCATGGATGGGGGCCTCCCTGGTGGTGCAGGGGTTAAGACGAAACCTATGAAGAAATCCGGAGCCACTGCAGCACAAGTTCGATTCCCAGCCCACCAGGGAGAAACCCACATGGTGGGACAGATCTCTCCTGTCTCGCCCACTGCTCCCCTCAGCAGTGTACTTCGGTCCGTCTGCCTGTTCTATTCCCCACTCTGTCTCTGGTGAATCCTCTCACCGCCCTGTGCATCTCTGGCCTATACCCCAATTCTTGTAAAAAATAAATAAATGTTTAAAAAAAAAAGACTATTACATTTGAAAACATTTAAAAAAAATAAATATAACAGCATGGATGGAACTTGAAGACATTATGCTTGGACAAATGAACAAAGGAAATTCCTGAGGAAGGAGCCCCAAAGCCCCTGGGCCCCACCCACCCAAGGGACACACAGGAACAGGGAGGGACACACTCACCTTGGGACCCCCCAGGGGGCAGCTGGAGGAGGAACAGCAGGGAGGGGAGGAGGCAGAGCACAGAGCTGGGGCAGGAGCAGGGCACCATCTCCTCAGGGCTGAGGAGAGACAGGGCAGGAGTCAGCCAGGTCCACACAGGCAGGGCAGCCAGGAGGGGCTCAGGGGGGAGCAGGGCCCAGGGATCCCCCACCAGCAGGAGCAGAGCCCTTCCTGGTGACCCCTGAGGCCCAGAGATTAAGGAGGACAGACCTGGCTCCTCTCCGGGCTTCTGAGCCTCTGTGCTGCTAGAGACCATGAGGTTTATTGGAGGAAAACATCCTCCCTTCCCTTCATACAGTGTGGAACCCATACCCCAGAACTGCTCTGCTCACAGCACCAAGCCCCTCCATTCCCAGCACTGGGTCCTGGGGTACAAACTGCCCTCCTTCCCCATTATGATACCCAGTGACTCTCCAGGATAGAGGCCCAGCTCCAGGCCCCCCATGAAGGACAGGCCAGCACCTGCTTGTGGACCTGTCCCCCTCAATGTGAGCAGTTGTCCCTGAAAAGCCTCAGGACACACAACACTGTCCACAAGCAGTCAAGGTCCCCCCAGAGGCCCCTGTCCTTCTCTCTCTGCTTTTTAAGCTCACCTGAAGGTCTGTGCCTCCCCAGCTGTAACCTGCCAGGGAAAGGACAAGGTCCTGCCCCAAACACAGCAGGAGCCAGGTCAGATCTCCACTGAGGGCTTCTTCCTCTCCTTTCTAACTCTCAGGGACCTGCCTTGTGGTGAGGGACCCAGTGGGACAGAGCAGCAGAGAAGAGAAATGAGTCCTGCTCAGAAAAAAACACCCTCAAACCACATACTGGCTGGGGTTGTGGGGAGGCAGGCCATGGACCTGGGAGGCAGATTCTGGGGCTGACTCTGAGGTCATCTCTAGACCCAGCCACCCTCTGTGTGACCATCTTCATCAAGTCACTTAACCTTCCTGCCCCACTATCCCCACAGAAAAATGGGTCAGTATCAGCATCTCCCAACCAAAGTTGGAACAAGAATTACATGAATTGTATTTGGAGAGTCACTACCTAAAATTCTAGAACAGGGTCCTGCCCCTGCATGTTACAGAAACATTATTAAAATAAGTGAAGTACAATCTTGGTGAGGTTCTGCTGGGTCCTCTTAGAGCAGCACCATTTCTCTGCCAGCTCCCATCCCACCCAAGCCCCACTACCTTCTCAACCCCTCTTTACAGTCAGCTGCTCCCCACTTTCTTTTCTTAAAAGAAACATGTCCTTAAAACTGACATACCTGCTTTGAAATGGTGGGGCTTCTAGGGTGTCCCTTCGAACTTGAGAAGTTTCAGTGCTTCCCCAAATCTTCTTACAGAGTTAGCACCTGCTGTTAGCTGCTCAGGAGCCCTGCTGGGTGCCAAGGGGGCCTCATGGCTCAGAGAAGATGGTTCCCAAGAGAGTAGACAGGCAGAATTCGGCACTCATTCAGGGGTGTCTCACCAGGGGTGGGATCCCTGGGATCCTCCAAATTTTCTCTTAAAAAGGCAATCACCCTTCCCTGGCTCCTACATGATCTGAGAACTTCCTGCTGTTTCAGGAAGAAACAGCATATCAGATGGGTCAGCAGAGGGGAGGGGCCCCCACTGTGAGCACACACTGTGCTCCAGGCTGCTTGGCTTCCAGAACCAGAACTAGTGGTGAGTGTGGGGCCAAGTCAGGACTGACTCTGAGCCCCATGCAGGGCTCAGTCTGTGCCAGATGGTGATCACCCCAGTGACCCCAGGTCAGCTGTCACCCCACGTGGCAGAGCCTGTGAGGAGCCCCCAGAGGGCCTGTTTTCTTCTGCTTAGAGCAGCTGACCAAGGAGCCACCCCACTCTGGACACCAGGAGTCAGCACTGGGCACCAGGAGTTACCAGGACCTGGTCCTGCCCACACTGTGTGGACGGGGCCTGCGGCTTGTTCAGATGTTAATGTCACCAGAGACCTGATCACAGTGACCAGACCCTGTCCCTCCAGGACACGGAGTCACCAAGAAGGCCCAATTCTGTGTCTCCAAGGAAATCATGGGGCCTGGACCTCCCCTCGCCCCACATTTCCTGTGGTTTCCCCTTCTCAGTGAGGAGCAGCTGTGTCCCCCCAGTTTTCTCTGCCAAAAACTCCAGAGACATCTTCATAGTCCACTCCCCACCCAGTCTACTGCCAATGCATCCAAATGTTCAGTCCATGTCCATGACCAGCACCTATTCCATATCACCCTCATTTCTAACCTGGCCCAAAGGTCACCCCACCCCACCTCCAGCTTCACCTCCCCCAGTCCATTTCCTTCCAAGATCATGACCCTCTCCAGTCAGCTCATGTCATCTCCCTGTCTCATCCCTTCAGGGGTCTGCTTAAAGGAGGGGCTCCAGACCTATCTCTCCCTCTCTGACCCTCTCCCATTGCTCCTCCAAGGACCCCCTCTGGTTCAGGTGACTCCTCCAATTCAGGGAGCTCTCCCAGCCTCAGGCCTCCTCACAGTCCCTGATGCTCCTGCTCCCTCTGTCCCCCAAACCGCTGGGAGCCATTCTACTCATGTCGTGTGACAAAGCTCCAGGCATGGGGCAGATTCCTGAACAGTCAGGAATCTCGTTCGCTGACTCCTAGATTCTCCTCATTTGTTTATGGCTAATTTCTACCATTGTTAAAATATGCATTTAAAAGTAAAACTACAAATGCTGTTTGATCAATTACTGAATAACCAAATTTATGGCAAATGGCACTGCATGATGCAAATATCACATTTTTTATAAAATTAGTGGTTCTCTGCCAAGTGAAAGGTCCAGGCAGGAGGCCTGAATGCAAAAGCCTACCAGGAAGCCCACCTGGGGGGCAAGAAGTGGAAACCTGCCTGGGGGACTCAGACAATGAGCCTCCCCCGACCCCTAGGAGTCTCTTCTCAGACAAAGAACCTGTACCTGCCCCAGGAAACTTTTCAAGCCCTACAAACTTCTCCTGCCATACGAACCCAACTTCCCACCTGACATCTCCTTACCCTATAAAACCCTGCTTTCCCCTAACAACATGCGTGATTCCACTGACCCCCGCCTTGGGTCTGTGAGGTCTGCCAGGGAGCAATAAATTTTCCCTTCCCCTGAGGAAAACAGGCTCTTCTTTACCGCGCTGTACTTTTCAACAAGTAGGATTGGCCCAGAGCAAGGCCCCAAAACCTGCCACAAGTCTAAAGCTCCTTCCAGTGGGGACCCACAGAAAAGGGTCAGAAATTACCAGACAAGCCTGGAAGGAAAAGAGCAAAATCAACATCAAGATAAGAGCTGCCATTGTCACCTCCCCACAGGTCTCACCCACATCTGTGTCACCCAGTCCATGACCCAAAGGCAAGTGTAGTTTCTTCACATGACTCTCGGCTCCATGTGCCTCCTCCAGGTCTCCTCCTGGCTCCATCCTGCTTCCTTCCTTCCTCAGTCTCCTCTGAAGCTTCTTCTCTCTCTGCTCAGCTCCACCGTCCTTTTGGGTGGGTCAGGGAACCTGGAATCTTCCCCTTTCCTGGGGACCACCCTGTTACAACACCTTCCCCTTCCCTTAAGATGGATGTGTTGACATCCATTGGCCTCTGAAGACCCCTCCCCTTCCCCATCTCTGTGCTAACACTTTCCCCCATCCCTTAATGAAAACCAGCTGGTACCCATCCATCTCCGTGTTGAGCTGACACCCACTTGTCTCCATGCAGACCCTTCCCCCTCCCCTTCGCGGACCCCTACCCATTTCCCCCTTGTATAAATACCCCTGCCCACTGCCAAGGAGCAGGACGGTGGTCTTTTGGACATGAGTCTGCCGCCCTCCTCATTTGTCGACAAATAAAACTGCTTTCCTTTTCCTCAAATTCGGTTTCCTTTTATTGGCTGAGGGAAACTGAGGCTGGCGTTGGGTATCAATTTGGTGAGCTAGAGCCAGGAGGTGGATGCCACTTCGGCTCTTCCAACCCCAACTCTGACTTCCAACAGACAGAGCAGATGGTCGCCAAAGCACACCAGGGCTCACCTATCAATGATGGGCTATGCTGTTGGAGAGGGACCTGGGCATCCCGGGTGGTATATTGACCCTCCTGCTGAGAGGGAGCGCCCTCTCTCCAGGAGGATGAGGGAGAGTCCTAGCGGCTGCCAGAGTTCTTTTTCCTCCAGGGAACTTCCCAAGTCCTCCTCAGGAGAGGCACATCTCTTTTCTGCACCCTGGATTTACCTTTGAAGAGGTGGAAACTGGATGGAAAACCGCGTTCCCTGGCATTTGGTGTAAGTTCCCCTGGAACGTGCACGCCAAGACCTTGGCCTTCACAGATTTGGGAGGAATCTGAGTCCCCTCACAGAGGGAGTTCGGTTCTCTTCAGTTTGGGAGGGAGTCTATCATTCTCCCTCAATTTTGAGCTCTCTTTAGCGTGTTAGACCTGGTTGAGTGGGAATTGGGAAATATTTGGTATTTTTTACTTGATGTCTATTTGGTATCTGTTATTTGGAGTTTCCCACTTGTTTTTTTTGGAAGCCAGGGATTTAGTTAAACTTATGAGAGGCGCCATATTTGTTTCATCTGAAAGCCCCTTGGGGAAAATATTAACTGAGTGGTCGACCTGTAGCTACAAACCTATGTCTAAGAAGCAGCTCCTATCATGGTTTCCCTGCAGGAGCCCAGGAAAAACTGATAGTGGGGAACAGACTGATGTTTTTTTAACACAAAAGCCAGGCAGTATACTCTCCTTTTCCACATTGGCTGGCTCACCTATGACTTCCTTTTATCTATGCTCTTCTAAAATCTTACCCTGACATTCAGTGTCAGTTCCGATGCTTTGGCTTTAGGCAACCTGAGATTACTCTGACTCTTCTAGGACATTGGCAGATGGCTGGAAGGACTGGAATTGTTCCAGTGAGAAAACTGGGCCTGGACCAGGGCTTCTACTTGATGTTGTTTTTGGAGTTAGAGGGTCTGGAGTACAGGGTCCTTGGGTTCACTCTGGGAAAGTTGTTACCAGAGCTCCTGTTTCAGGGACATGCAGCAAGTTTCCCAGGTGAGGTTCTCCACGAGACAGAGATAGTAGTTATATTGAAAGGGCAGGTTTATTAGGGAAAGGGGACAGGAGAGTAAAGGAGACACAGCGGGCAGGAAGATCTGCCCCAGAAGGGACAGGTTTGCTGAGAGAGGCCTGCAAGGGTGGCTTTGAGGAGAGTGGCCTCTGCTGAGGGACATCAGTGAGGAGAGGCCAGAGAGGGACAGGTCGTGGGCAGGCAGGGAGGCTGCTTCCCTGCAGAGGAAGAGGTTTGGTGAAAAGAGGAACCTGCTAAGGCACAGGTGGGCAGGCAGAGTGCTGCCCGGAGCCTGTACAGAGACTGCACGGATATAGTTGTCTTCTGTTTGGGAGGGACTCACCCCTTGTGAGCCTTTGGGTTAGTTGCTAATTGCTGGAGACCAGCTCTAGCTAGAAGTCGTGTCAGGGTCTCAGAGAGGAGAGGACGGCGTCGGCCAAGTTTTCTCGGAGGACTGAGGGGAAGTGGAGCAAGGTAGGAGTGAGGTAGACACAGACACCTTAGTTCGTGCAAGTGTCTCTTGCTGAGGGTCTCAGCGGGTCTTTATTTATACCTTAAGGAGAGCGGTGGGATTACATCAGCGTAAGCATTGAAGCAGAGCAAAGACAATCAATACATATTTTCTCATGATCATGTAAAGACTCCCTTGGCCTTACACCTGTAGGCCATTTCTTTGGTAACCTAAGAACAATTAATTTCCTAGGTAGCATGATCAATCATACAAGACAGCACAATATTTGGCAACAATTAAACTTTTCCAATTACAAAAGTGGGTGTAAAATTCGTATTCTAGGGCCTCCCCGGTGGCGCAGCGGTTGAGCGCTGGGTTGCAAAGCTGCCTGCAGCCTCTGTGGCGCAGGTTCGATCCCCGGCTGCTCCCTGGCCACCGGAGGAGGGTCCCACATGGCGCGCAGACCTCTCCTGCTGCCCGCTGATCCCCTCAGCAGTGTACTTAGGTCCCTCTGCCTGCTCTGCTTCCTGCTCTGGCTCTGGTGAATTCTCTCGCCCTCCCGCACTTCTGACTGTACCCAGTGCTTGAATAAAAATAAATAAATAAATAAATCTAAAAAATAAATAAAGAAAGAAAAGGGATATAGTTTTGGTGAAACTATCCACCCATCCAAAATATCTTCTAGGAATTTAAAGAAAAATGTGGCCTTAGAAAACTGATAGGGAATTTTCTGCCCCACTTTCTTTAGAACCTAAGGGGCATTCTTACAAACATAACTTGAGAAATGTTTTCTTATGTGAAGGAGTTAGTTAAAAGGGATATTAAAAAGTAAATTAATAATTGTTGTCAGTGTTTTCAGAAATATTGGTAAAATAACTATCTCTAAAAATTAGTGCAAATGGCCAAAGTTCTAAATGAAAGAGATCTCTGTGTCTGTCTCTTTGCCTTTGTGTTTTTTGTCTCTGGAGGGTTTCTGTGTTAAATATCATTATAAATGGCGCCTATATAAATTCTAATAGAAAAGAACCCAAATTTTAAGATTGTGATCTAAAAATTTTGGTAAACAAAA